GGGGGGGCAGGGGGAGGACAGTAGCTCATTGATTTTTTTAGTAGAAGTAATGAAGGACAAAATAGATTTAAGCACGATTGGTTTAGGCTCAAATCAGGAAGTGCCACAATTGAAACTCTGGGCATAACGAGAACTTTGACCCTTGGTTTATCTGTACTGATATTTCTAACTATATCAGCATACTGTTGTGCAAATATTATTGTTCATGTTGCCTGGAATCTTGGAATCTAAAACGTTTTGTGTTTTTCATTCTTTTTCTGCACAAATTTATGCTAATTTCTCTAAAGAGCCATATTTTAACTTGTTAGCACACATGCAGACCATTTGTAATCCGTATCACTGCCTGTTCAGAAAGGCTGAAGAAAGACCGAGGCAAGTATCTGGAAGCTTAAACTAGGCCAGTATATACAAAGAAGTTACCATGATTTCTTCCTTTTGCACAGTATATATTTCTGTGTGTTCTGTTTTGCTCTGTCACATAAATTTCACATGACAATGTGGCATACAAAAAATAGTGGGAGCTATGTCTGGTTACCTTGGTAATAGGTAGTGTTTAAAAATACGTAATGCATGCTGGTGTTTTAATTAATTGCATGACAGTGGTACCAAAGCAGTTCAAGCACAGTGTGCCACGATAATGGGGAATTGCTGACTCTTGAATTAGTAGTCATGCAGCTGTCGAAAAATTTTTCTGAATCTCTTAAATAAATTCCATAGAGCTTTTTAAAAACAGCGAGAGAATCACTTACCATTTACTTTTGGAAGCTAGGATGTAGTTCTAGGTGTTTAAGTTTAAATTAAAAAAAAAAAAGAATGCTTTCATGATATTGAGTTATTTTCTAAATCTCTCTGATTTCTTTCATTTTGGAGTTCTTCAAGAGAGGACTGTTTGTTTACCTGAAACCAGTGTCAGCTGATGGAAAGTGATAGCTGTCTAAATCCACGAAAGACTGGCTGTTAAGTGAGCTCTGATTTCTGTAAAGCTATGACTATTCTGAGATATTTGACCAGTGCTGTTTTCACAGTTTAATTAAAATACAAAACCTCTGTAGGATATCTTTAATGGGTTTAAAACTGGCTATACAACAGATTATGACAGCTAGTTATAAAGGGGAGAACAAGTGCTACAAAAGTAGTCTGCGTCACTACAGTATTTAATAACAGTAACCAGGAAGAGGAGAAAAAAACGTATGTAAGATCTGTGAGTAACAAATCGGCATAAAATGATTAAAAAGGTAGAGGTCGCTGATAGAGAATGAATCTGGATGGCTGGTTAAAATGGGTTCGGTAAGCCTGTTTCAACGCACTGACTCCACGAGAGTACATCTCTGGAGAGGCGATACGGGCTGTACTTGCAGGATGGGAACAATCTATTCTAGGAAGCAGTTGCTGAAAGATTCAAGGTTGTGTTATATAATTTGCCTGCTGCCTATTCCTACCCAGTAATGCAGCCATGTATTAATATAAGGTTGAAGCCAAAGATGAACCTGGAGCGTTTCGAAAGAGAAGCAGAGTAGAAGTAGAAATTGCATCTCTGTTTGATACATGTACGACATACGAGGCCCAGTTCCAGCCTCCCCACTTCACTTCATGGCTTTCAGGACATAAAATCTATATTGTCCTTTAATAAGTGCCACCTCTGAAGCTCACCGAATGCCTCTCGCAGTCCATTGCTAATCACGTTACTGGCACGGTAATCTTCTGGGGTCGGTAGCGGAGCTGAAGGTTTATTTCAGACTAGTTGCGAGTATGTGTTTGACTGATAGGCAGCCAAGTTACCTGCAAGTTGCAGATGGAAATTTGCTGTGGCAGCCATCCACCTGAAGGAGAAATTCCTGTTGTGTTTTTCCTCAAACTTTGTGGGTAGCAATGTAGTAGAGTGGCTTCAGTTCTTAGGTTTTGCGTTTATGGTCATTGGCAGTTGGATGGGGTTTGGCAGGGGTGGGAGAAGGGGGGTGTGGGCCTTACCCTTGTTACAGTAAATATGAGGTGAAAGCTGTCAGACTTTCTGTTCACGTGAATTGTTGACTGTTTAACAAAGTCTTTTGTTCCCAGCTGTTTATTAGTAATTGAGACCTTCCCCTTTTAGTGTTTGTGATACTCTCATCATTAGTAAATATTCCAAGAAAATTACCATACACAAGACCTGGAAATAATGTACAGCAGAAGATGTTTTGTTTTTGTTGTCTGAATGTTATGTCATCCAATGCACGTTAGTCTCTCAAAACAAGAATATTTCCTGTTCTAAAATAAAATAGCGAAGAAGGACAACAGACCTTTTGTAACTTCCACTACTATTACCCATTAGGCAATCTGAAGTCTAAGGAGAGACAGTAACAACTAAAGCTACCAGAATTCTCTGATAAATAGCATGACGGTGAATTTTGGTTTTGAACTGTTGTTTTTTCTTGAATTATTTGTTTTTCAGACCTAAAGTTGGAAATTCAAGCCATTTGGGACTAGGGAGAAGGAAAGGAAGGGTAATAAGGTGGTAGCTTTAGGCTCTGCAGATTTCTCCAAGAGCTATAATAATGTTCTGCTGGGACAGATAACCCTTTCTCTCTTCCTTGTCTTGTGCTCCATGACACTCTGCTTCTTGTTATTGTTTGGGACTACTTACGTAGTTCTGTGCTACACGTTGTGGTCTCCAATGTAGATAAATCCTTTTTGCCTAGTGTTTAGATAACAGTAGGCAACCCCCAGCAGTGACAGCTTAGGCATGGTTACTTTTGGTTCACTTGCTAGCCATTGCTGGTTAAATCTGCTGAGCTGTCTAGCTACCAACTGGCAGACTTAGCAATAAGCTTTAGAAAAAACTTGGTCTGTGATCCATTTGCCAAATACAGAGTTGAGTTCCTCCTCTGTAATCAAGCTGGAGTCAGCTGATTATAGCTGAGATTTTTCATGTTAGTATCCTGCATGTTGTCCTTTCCCTGTCTCTTTGGTCAAGTTATTCCCATAGCTGAAAAAAATAAATTGAATCTCAAACTCCTCCAATTTAGAAATATCTCTTGTTATCTCTGAATAGTAGGATTTCTTTCAGCTATAGCAGCATCAATTTGATGAGGAGGGACAACTTCCAGAAGGGTCTAAAGAGCATAAAGTCTCTTCTGGAGTTTGCTATCTCCTGACAGATGGAGAAAGGACTCAGCCCTGCAGAATGAACACAGATAGTCTGATTCAGAGGAAGCAATTGGCAGGTAGGAAATGTTTTTTGTTTTTTTGTTTTTCCATTTCCTTCCCTGTCTACATTTTCATTTCACTGTTAATTATGCTTTTGGTGTTGTGATCAGGAAAACAGCTTCAGTCAGATTGGTATTGTCTGTTGCTTTGTTTTTCTTACAATTAGAAAGCGCTTGTTTTTTAAGTTTGCACTTATTTAGAGTATCTGGTTTAAATGAATTATCTATAAATCATAATATAAAGTGATTTCACAGCTCCCTGCCACCGTAAGGAGGCCATCTCAGCTGCGTTTGGGTTTATCAGTGTTTGTCATGCTGGCTGGTGCCTGGCTCCTGCCTTGTCACAGTATCCTGCACTTGTCTGCATCGAACTCCCCAGTTCCCTGGCTGCAGGAGGAGGACGTAGCCGTGACGCACCCGGGGCAGGAATGTACCGAGCTAGCTCTGGCCTGACGCTGTCCCCGAGCTAGTTACAGTTCCTGGGACCTGGGGCACTAAGATAACGCTGCAAGGTAGTGGCTTCGTGTGGAGTCAGTTCAGTTCTGGCTTGACACAAGCTCCAAAATCCAGCGAATCTGAGCTGACTGAATGTGTTTTTAAGGAGTATTTCTATGCCATTTTCCCCAGTCCTCTTGCATGTGGAAATGCCATACAGAGACAGGCAAAACATCCTCAGTTTAGATCCAAAAGGACTTTAGTCTTACGCTGAAAGAAAGCTGCTGTATTATTTCCAGACCCAAGTCGTCCCTGGAAGTACAGCAACATTTGCACTGAGTTGTACCTAAGCGAATGAGCCTGGCTGGAGCTGATTTGTTCTTGCATCTCTGGTACAGATAATCTGACCACAGATAATTGAGCATTGACTCTGTAAATAAACTGCCTGTACACTTTGAAATCAAGTGTCTCAAAATTGTTTTCTCTTCTTCTTCTTCTTAGCTCCCAAGCCTGCTCCCCTTGTAATCATCTCTTGACTGACCTCAGGCTATTCTCATCTCCTGGCAAACTGTTGTACTCTCATTCTTCCATCTGGGGTGACATGTTACACCTGGCATGGATGAAGCCAGGTTCTGTCTAGCCCTTTAAAAAGCCAGCTCAGCCCCTGATAGGAAATAATAATCACCCTAATCTGTTTAAGCTACGCTCCAATGGCCTGGGGTGGTTTAATACAAAAACCACTGACACGTCACACATTTCATACCTTGGAAAGATGTTTACTGCATGCATGTTCCCTGAGACCTCCTATGGCATATCTCATAGACAAATATCTTCAGGCAGGATTGAATCCTTTGTGTGGATTTGCTTTCTAAAGATCTTGATTTGTTTGCTTACTGTCCCTGCTAAAATTCATAAAAATTGTTTTGAGTTGAGCTGTGCTTTGTTTTAAAAAGAAATGATATTTTTTCCCCAAAGAGTTTATACAAAATCTCAGTGCAGTTTAAATGAAAACACCTGACAAATGTGTAGCTAAATATGCAAGAATTATTTAAAAAAAAAAAAAAAAAGTTATGTGAGTACCACATAGGAAAAATGCCCGATGTCCTCAGCTGCTGAGTGTAAACAAATTTATTTTGTCCAAAAAGTTCCTCTAAAAAACAGTATGTGTGCGCGTTTCCTGAGAAGGTGCACAGAAAGTTTGAACCACCTGAGCGGAGTGATAGGTTGTTGCAGGCACTAGAAGTGGGAGAAGGGAAAGGTGCATTGCGCAGCCCTGCAGCTGCAGCCGTGCCATGCTGCGGGGCGCCTGCTCCGTGGTGGGTCGTGCTGCCGGCACTCTTCGGTCTCCTTGCCTCCGTCCCCTTCCTGCCCCACTCGCGAGTTACAGGAGGCGACAGGAGCAGAGTGGAAAAACTTGGAATGCTTTGAATTCACGTCCTCACTCTAGTTGCTGTTTGGCCTTGGAAAATTTCTTGGCTTGCACAGCATATCAAACAGTGAGCGCACTTTAACAAATTTTGGAAGTCTGGATTTGTTGTTGATTATATCGTAGTTTGAAAAAACTGAGTAAAGGCTCTTCTGAAAGGAATCGTTTCTACCCAGTAAGAGGGGCTATTAAATCATAGCCTCACGGCGCACTCTCCCATGCAGGCAATGATGGGAAACCTGTTATCAATATGAACAGTTAAGTACTTTATTGAAAACAAGGCATATTTAATAGGTGAAGCTAGATTGTAGTGAGGAATGATCAAGACACATAACTGGAGGTAGAATATAAAGCACTTTTTACTCTGACTCGCTTAGGCGGCTTTACATCCATTTTGTTCATGTGAAGTTAGGTCTAAGTGTCTTTAGTCTGCACAGTTAGAAGTAATAAATGATACAAGTTACTTGTAAATGTAGAACTAAGGAGATTTTAAAGGGAAAGGTACAACTAAGAAAAAACGCCTTACAGCCCACCTTTGGATTTTGGTATGTCTTTGACTGCCGATTTTTGTTCTGTAGAAGGTGGTGTTTTTAAGTACCGCTGCATATAGCGAGAGAAAGCTGAAGAGAGGACCTGTTCAGAAATTATTTTACACATTCAATCTTGTGGAGCGGGTGTAGTAGGGGCTTGTAATTGATGCACATTCCTGCAGCATCCTAAGTCATCGGTTTTATTATCCGTTGCAAATATTGCGCCTGGACGATGAGTGAGCTTGTTTATCTGAAACGTTAGAAATGAGAAAACAGTCTGCACTGACCCTCGTGCTGCTTTCATATCGAGGTTTGATAACGCAGGTTGACACTTGAATATCAACTCATTCAGTTTTCAAAACAAAATGGCCCTTAGCTGGGCAGATCTGTTTGTTTAACTTGACTTTTAAAGATGTCAGAATATTCTGAAGGGATTAATTTGAGATCTGGGAATATTCATGAGGAGTTGCCAACATGGAAAGGCAAGTAAACAGGGTAATAGGTAAATTTTAACTGAGTTTCCTAAAAGATGATAAGGCTTATGTGAGCACACCAATTTTTGTCTAAAAATTGTTAACTCTTTGGCCAGTTTGGCTTCAGAATGAAATTCCTGCAGTTTTGTGAAAATCAACAACTGTGAAGAAACACGGTGATGACCATGTCCCCCGAGAACAGCAGCTTCGTGTCAGTACGAGCGTGCTGCTGCCCCACTTGCCACCCGCGCACCTCCACACCAGACAGAGCATGTTCTGTCTCTGGTGGGGGACCCAAGGGACCGTGGACATGGGATGAAACTGGGAGGGTGGCGGGGCAGAGAAGCACAGGGTAATTGAGATGGGGCAAATTTAGGGGAGAAAAACCTAGACTTTAAGAAAAACAGTTTTCTTTATTTCTCTGCTTATGGAACAGCTTGTTATTAATATAGAAAAAAAAAAAGTGTTGTTTCACCAGATGCTATTTTTGGATCCCAAATAACAGTGTGAACTGCAAAAGCCAGAAGGTTTAAACAATAGATTATGTACAACTACTACAAAGCTATTATTCTGTGTGAATTTCAGTAAAGTTACCATTTTTATATGAGAGTCTTCTAAGGAACAATGAAATGAGTTGGTGGTGAGTTATCTTGATACCAAATAAAATCTAGCACAATACTACGGTTATAAACAGATGAAGAACATAAGTCTCCTAAAAGCGTTTTGTTTTTTCTGAGTTGTGCAGTGTTTCTTTTTGCTGGAAACCTGAAATATAGGTATTTTACTTAGACCATAGCAAGCTGAGCCGTGTTTATTTGCTTTAGTTTTCTGTCTTTATAGCAGTCATTTTAAACTTATAGAAATGTGACTTTGACTGTAATAGTGTATGTAAAATGTATGCCTGACTTGTACCATTAGCTCAATGAATTACTAGAAAAACTTCAGTGATTTCATTTAATTTCATAGGAAGGGCTAAATATCACTGATCTGAGTTTTGGTCTGAGTAAATACATGACGTCTAATCTTGCACTTATTGTGTGGCCTTGCGAAAGCACGTCAGTTATTCCATCCTCACTCTTTTGTGGCTTATCTTTTCCTATCTGTAAAAGAAAATACTGCTAAACTGTTATATCTCTGTTTGGATTAATTGAAACAGCAAAGTAGTAGAAGTACCAATTTGTTGTAATGCTTTTATGGTAGGTATGTGGAGGAGGTGCAAGGGGAAACATCTGATCAGTTCCTAGGTGTACGTGCAAATGACCTTTTTATTTTTATTTCTGTTTTAGAATTTTGTAAATGTCATTGAAATGGAGCTAAAGATACAGTGAACTATTTTACATGGGAAGTATAATCAAATAAAGAAAAATGTGCATTATTGGATGATCCCTAAGGTGAAAGATCTGCCTTAGGCCTGAGGAAACGGGTCTGTAATGAAAGATAAAGTGTAAGGGAGGAAGGAAACCAAATTTCCTTCAATTTGCAACAGCGTATATGGAGTGAAATTATTTCAGTCAGATTCCTGGAGGAGTCTGGAGATGAGTCGCTTTTAAATTTGTTTATTTAGTAAACCAGAGTGCTGTTCCTCATTGTATTTCTGCATTAGATATAAGTATCTATTTTTTTCTTGCATCCAGCAAGTAGCCTAATTAAAGATTTCTCCCCGCATATCTAAATCACCCACAGCGCGGTGATTCATCTGCAGCGCTCACCTTTGCTCCAACGGGAGTACCGCTGCCCGATAACGTAGTTTAGCATTTCTCCGCCTGTCCTCCCTTAAGCTTTGTAGTTCAGTGCTGATAATGCATTTCCTTGATCTGAGAACAAAAATGGTGGAAAAGTTATCACCGGTGGTGGTCAGCGTGGATTCATTTGCCCAGTTATTTACGTTTTGCCCAGGAACTTGTGGTCTCGCTGAGCTGAGCTAAGTGTACGATGCACAGTAGGAAACCTGTTGTTTTCCCTGCAGTAGCAGCGCGTCAGGTGGCGAATACCGCTCCCAGGCTGACGAGCGTATCGTTATAAGGCAGCATAAATTGCCACGTAAATCTCACGCTCGTCTTTCGAGCAAGCTGATAGCCTAAATCAGTAGTATCCCCGCTTGTAGATGAAGAAGTAGGCCGTGACAGCGGAATTAAATCTAGGTTTTCTGAGTCG